TGCTCAGCAAGATTGAGGGCCAGCCCTGCTTCTGCTCACAGTTCTAGGCCAGGGGCTCCACACTTGAGTGTCTATGGGCACCTAGAAGGCATGGTCAAGTGCAGACTCCTGGGTCTCACCCCAATTGGAATGTCTGGGGTAGGGCCCAGAAATCACTTTTATAAGTTTCTCAGTTGGTTCTGTACTCCCAGAAATTTGAAAAACACTTGAGCTCCTGTGATGGGATCACCCGACCGTCAGGCGACATCTGTCGCTTCGGAGCCCTGTGTGACCCGACCGTCAGGCGACATCTGTCGCTTCGGAGCCCTGTAACCTCTCTGAGCACATTTTTCTGCATCTTGTAAAAGTGGGGTGTTGGGAGGCTGGCAATAGCTGCTGTCCCCAATCCTTTTTGGAAAAGGGCTGGGATATTTACATCTAGACAAAAATAACCCCTGCCCTGCCTTCTTCTCCCAGTGGCCCTGAGCAGAGGGTGGTTATGAAAGAACTTTGTAAACTGTAGAGGGGGGTGCACCTAGGAGGGGAGTGATTGTTGTGACACCTGGGAAACAATTTGATGTGTTTTCAACAGATCTCCTGCCTCAACCAAGAAGTGTCTCAGCTCAGCCAGGAGCTCCGGCACATGATGGGCCTGCTGCAGGCCAGGCTGGGTCCCCCCGGCCACCCGACAGTCTCCGCTCGGCCCTCAGGCCCTCCGCACCTCCAGCAGAGGCCTCCATGCATCTCTCCCTGTCGGTCGGGAGCACCATCTAGCATCCAGGATACGACTCTCGCTGAGGTCCACTGCCCAGCCACTGTGGGGACAGCAGAGATGGGGACTGCCCACCCCAACCTCAGACCCTACGTGTTGTCCCCCTACCCCTCAGAGCCTGACCCTCTGGGACCCTCCCCGGTGCCAGAGGCCTCACTTCCAACCCCCAGCTTCCGGTCCAGGTCAGACACATCCCACTGACCCTGGCCCTGGGCCCAGGCCTGTCTGGGGTGGGCATTGCCACCTGCCATCAGGGAGGGGCTGAGCCCAGGGCCTCCTGCCTCGGGTCAGCAGCCACCAGCTGGTCTGGTTGGCTCTGAATTCTCAGGACTTTTTCCATAAAGCCTGGTCACTTCCGACCCTCTTTCCTTTTCCAAACCTTCTCCTGTGCTCCTCCTTTGGGAGGGGAGTCACCAAAGGCCGTGGAACCCAACAGGCATGAGACAGAGCACGATGCCCATCAGGCTGGGCAGATGAGATGGCCTGCCTTCTCCCCAGGACCTGGAGGCAGGTAGAGATGGGGGAGCAGACGGGGATGGGGAAGGGCCCCAGATCCAGCCTGGAAAATGAAGAGGCCACCGCAGGCAGAATCTTGGTGTCTACAGCCAGAGGGATAGATTGCAGAGCCCACTGCGGAGACAGTGTAGTGATATTGTGAGGTGTCCTGTCCCAGCCCCTGGTCTCTGGCGGAAACCTTGAGAGCAGTGCTGCCTCAAGAGGGCTAAATTTCAGATCCTGGCTGCTGGCATTTGAGCAAACCAAGACTTCTTAGGCCTCCTACCATCAACCCGAGCTGGAGGGGCTCACAGCCCACACAGGAAACAAACTGATGGCCCCCAGATATTCTTTGGCTCTCAGCAGTTTTTCAAAATATTAGTGAGTTGCCAACATTAAAAATCAGGAGAGTATACATAAGAACCGAACTATTCCAGCCTCTCTATAAAATTTTGGGAGATCTGGCAATCCATATTCCACCTGGCAACACTCAGCTGGTGTTGGGTGGCCACTGTCCTCTTTAGATGGGGACTCTACTCTCCACTTCTCCACAGCCTCCATATTTCTTCATCATCTCCTGACACTCCGCTAACTTCCCTCATTTGAATTATTTGTCTGGTCTTTGTGGGGTTTGAGTTTGCAGTCCTTGCCTTAGAGCAGCGGTTCTCAACCTGTGGGTTGCGACCCCTTTAGTGGTCGAATGACCCTTTCACAGGGGTCGCCTAAGACCATCGGAAAACACATATATAATTACATATTGTCTTTGTGATTAATCACTATGCTTTAGTTATGTTTAATTTGTAACAATGAAAATACATCCTGCATATTAGATACATAATAGTAGCAAAATTAGTTATGAAGTAGCAACAAAAATAATTTTATGGTTGGGGGGTCACCACAACATGAGGAACTGTATTAACGGGTCGCGGCATTAGGAAGGTTGAGAACCACTGCCTTAGAGTGTGTTTCCAGGATCCTGTGTCCCAAAAGGTACTTTTTGGGCTCAGCAATGTCTATTCCTATTCCTGGGTGTGGGCCTGTCAGCATCTCTGTTTCTCTCTGCAGGCTGTCACTGAAGGTGGTCTCTTCTGTTGCCAACAACTTGAAACAGTTCCAGCAGCACTCCCGCCCCTCCGCTGCCTCCAGACTTCAGCCAAGCCTGCTCTCCCCGTTACCAACATGGTCTCCCTCGGAGCCTGACTTCTCACAACCTCACCCTGGTCTCCAGTTCTCCTTTACCACTCAACACTTTGGGATAGGAAATAAATTCTTTATTTTTGTAGTTGTTGTCTCTGGCTGTTTCTAGAGGCTGGTCGGAGAGCCCCAGGGCTTTGGAGGAACTACACTGCAGTCACTCCCCCAGGCCCTGTTGCTGTGTCTAGAAAGGGCAAAGGCGCCAACCAATTCACTTGGTACCATGCTCACGCCACAGGGGCCCCAGGGATGAGGCAGAAATCTTAATGAGTCACTATGGGCCATTATACCCCTCCTCTCCCTTCCCCAGTCACAGCCATAGATTCAGACACAGTATGTGGGGGGACCGAGTCCAGGCTCAGCCTCACCTCCAGGCCTGGAAAGGTGGCCATGGAACTCCCCATTGATCCTGTACCTATTGCAGGCCAGGTACAGCAGGGACTGGGGGGAAGATCTTGTCACCAGCCAAGAACTGGTAGAAACCCTACTCTGCTCCATCCTCTTTGCTCTCCTAAGCCCTTTCTTCCCTCTTAGCGTCCATTTACCTGATGACCATTGCAGGAGTGGATGGGATGAGTGTTAGGAATGTTGTTAGAAAGAGGCACCCTGGACACCAGATGGAAATAGGTTGTGAACAGTTTTGTGGCCAGTTATCCCAGAGTTTGATTCAGGCTGCAGAGTATGATTGGTGTTGGCTGCTGTCATAGGAACAATGCCCACAGCTGTCTCTGGGGTGAGGTTTGATTCCATACAGGTTTTGAATAGTGTCCCAAGGGGTGAGATGCAGAAGCAGAGGAGGTATGGTCTTTGTTGGGGAGGAAAAGGTGGGCAGAAGCATAAGTGGTCCTAAATCCATATTGAGGGGAGCAGAAAAGGCAAGAGCCCTGATGCCTACGGAGAGAGCAAGGTGGGGGCAAACAGAAGTGGTTCTAATCTGTATTTGTGGATGAGGAGAGACAAGGCAGAAGCGGTCCGGCTCTGCATTTGGCATCAGAGACAAGAGCTGGTCCTGGTTGGGTGTGGGGCCAGGCAAAGGCAGAGGTAGTCCGGGTGTGTTTTGGAGTCGAGCCAAAGGAGGAGGGTCCTAGTTCACCGCTGGACAGTGGCAGGAGCTCTCGCTTTGATCTCACCCAGTAGCCTCCAGAGAACCCTTCCTACAGCGCTTCCATCACCTTCCCCATCACAGAATGTCCCCAATAATCGGGCTCCCAGAGTTGACTTGGCCCGAAAGCGCAGACGGGCTTCTCCGGGTTAGCGAGAGAGCTCAGGATCGGACCAAACGGCCTCATTCACACCATGTTTTTCCTCCCCCAATTCTGCAAACAGCCTTCAGCCCTCTTCCAACGCTTCGCCACCCGCTTCTCCTTGGGGCGCCCGGAACCCGCGGTAAGGCGGTTGGCAGGCCTGGCCTTAAAAAGTTCCCGGCCGGCTCCGCCTCGCCCGGAGCGGGCTCCACCCTACGCCCAAGACCCTGGTGGCCACGGGCTCCTCCCAGCGCTGCGAACTACAAGTCCCAGCGTCCCTAGCGCGTGCGCTCCCGCCTCTCCCGCGCCCTCCAAGGGCGCCGCCTTCGAGTCCGCCAAGAGTGCCTCTCATTGGTCTCTCCACCCTGTCAGTCACCTGAAGTATTGAGGGGCGGGTCGGAGATGGAGATCCGGATCCGGAGCCGCTGAAAGGCGGAAGTGGAGGCCGGAGACTCCGCCGGGGGGAGAAGAGTGGAGCCGGTCCGAGCCCTGGCCCCAAGTAACGCCGCCGCCCCAAAGCCGCCGTGAGTGTCCCCGTCCCGGGACCCAGTGTCCCACTCGCGTTGAGATGTCTTCGGGGTAGCTCTTCCTCCCGCCCATTCCGGCTTAGAGGGAGACTGACCCCTCCCCCGACCCGTAGCCCCCTCTTAAGGAGTTCCCCAGGCATCAGGCCAAGAAGGGAGCTCTTCTTTCCTTCCCTTACCTGCCTTTCGTGCGCCTTGGGAAACTCTCCTGGCTCCCCTCTGGCCTGTCCAGTCCAGGTGTGGGAGGGAGAGACCCTAAGTTCCGCTCCCTCTGCTCCCAGAATTGGAGGAATCTTTGCCAGGTGTGAAGGGACCTGTCTCCCTTCTCTTTTAGACGTGGTGAGGAGTGCTGTCTGTCGCCGTTTTCCTCTCCCCCTTCCCACAAAAACAGTTGTCTCTCCAACCCTGGGGGGATTTTGTGTCAATTTCCTGGAAGGGTGGGGGGTTGGGGGGTCCTGGGTGAGACCGTCACACCGCACAGGCTCGCACAACTCCTTACTTCCTCTCTTTCCTCGAGCCAGAGCGCCAACCAGGATCTCAGCAGAGTTCAAGCAGGAATGAGCTGTCTTCTAGTCTTGCCCCCTCGACCCCAGCCCTGCCTGCTACTTATGTTGTTCTCTAGTTGTGTTATCCAATGAGTGTATCTCCCTTCCTGCCTCTTAAAATTTTAGCTGAGGTTTGCTCAATTCTGGCTACAGCTCAGGGTGGATCTGCCCATTCATTATCTTCTCACTGCTCTCCTCCTCCCTCCTTGCTCCAGGCTCAGGACTGTCCTTCCAGAGCACGTGAGTGGTTTTCAAGCTGCTTCAGAGGGACTGCTCCTCCTGGGACTGCTGTCTGCTGGTCTTTAGGGAGGAGGAAAAAAAAAAGACAAAAAAATGAAGAGCCTGGAATTCAAGGGTCCTGGGCTATCTCTTTGAAACCTCCCCTCACGCCCCCAAACACACACATACCTCCCTTATCAACAGGTAGATGCCACTTCTAGTTCCAGATATCTCCAGTCCTTTCTGGGCTTGAACAAATTGTAGATTACAGAAGAATAAATGGAGATCACAGTGGCACCTTTGGGTTCTTAATGTGCTAATTTTTTAGCCCGAAGAACATCCATACATGCCAGAAAGTGCTGATTCCCCCAGCCTTTCCAAGAGACAGCCCATGCTGACATCTGATCCTTTTCTATTGCTTGGGACTTAGGTGTGTGAAATGGCTGCTGCCTCAGATCTAGCTGGGAGGTTCTTTGTTATGTGACCAAAGTACAGGCCAGAGACTGTACCTTAATGAGAGCAGCCTGACTCTTTGAGGCCATGGCTGACCCTGGCTATCTACAGCGAAGGAAGGGAGGGAAGGCCACGCTATCTTTGGGAATTTCTTCAGTGTTCCAGGCTATCTTTACTGCCCTTGGATGCTACTTACAAGGGCTAGTTGCTTTCTTTTTTTTTTGCCTTGAGATCTTTGTGACTGCTTCTGGACTGTCACCAGTGTCTGATTCCTACAAACTTTTGAGCTAGACCTTGGATGCACTTATTTCATTTTTCATTGGACAATAGAAGCACCTTCCTTATTAGGATCAACAGTCAGATCACAGGCTCTCTATCCGTCTGGGCTTCTTTGGAGGGTCACTGGAGACTTCTGCAGGCAACCTAGTTTCTCTTAACCTGGTTAGCCTGTGCCTCTGAGGGCAGAGCCAGGGAGGCCTGACTGCTCACCAGGCCTGCTGACCAAACTTACCTCCTTAGTAGGAGGCTGTGGCTTCTGGAACTCGGGGAGTCTCAGGATGAAGCTGACCAGGCTTCCGAGGGGACCTTCGTTGTCGGGACATGCTCTCCCAGCTCCGATTCTGTAGTCGGCTTTTGAAGGAGACGCTGTCCCTTTCGGAGAGACAAGGAAAGCACCAGTGCTCCGGGTGGTTAGGCAGCCACTTCTGGCATCCAGACATCTCAAGAGATCTGACACTGCTTGGCAGAAAGAGAGGGCTCTGTGTGGGGTAAAAGCCCCTCCTCTGTGATGCCCTTCCTCTCCCCTCTTGCCTCTTACCACTAGTAAGCCTTTTTCTGCCTTTATACTACAGAAGGGTGGTAACAACTAATTTTCAGAAGTTCTTTTCAAGTTGCAAAGTTCTTTTCACACATGTTCCTCATTAAGAGTCCTGGGAGATAGTGGGATTTGTACCTTCACCTCAGAGATGCCACCGAAGGAATTGAAGTAGTTTCCCTTGGAACATACAATTGGAAAGTGGTAGAGCCGGGACTTGGGATTTGGGATTCAATGTGCCTAGACTTCCCTAATAGTGGGCCCTCCTTTGGTCTGTTTGTTAAAGGAATGAACATGCAAAGCGAACAGCCAGTGGCCCAAATACAGACCCTTTAGCATTCCGAATCATTGGGATCCTCTGCTTCTGGTTTTTGTCCTCTCTCCTACCCTACCCTCCTAGCCTCATTCTTGACCACCTTTTCTTCTGCCTGTGGAGACCATGGCAGCTATGACTCCTTTGTCCCTACTCTGTATGGGCCAAGAGTTTGCTGATATCTGCATGCCATTAATTTTGTAGGAACCTGAAAGTCATGATGGCTAGGAAATGAAAGTAAAAGGGAGTGGACCCGGGGATCCCTCTAGACCAGTGGTTCCCAATGTGGGGCACACGTCCCACAGGGGGGCAATTTGAGTTTTTAAGGGGGGCAATTCGAGAATGAGTTAGTAACAGTGAATTTTTTGCATTTTTTATGGTTCTAGGGGCCTCATATACAGTATATAAATATATATTGTGACATATTTATGCATTTCAGTTCTCTTATATGTTTTGAAACTTTATTTGCTATTTTTTCATATCACTTCATATTATTATTTTTTTTAACAATTTCTTAGTGATTTCTTCCTCAGTACTTCAGCTGTCCTTTTGTTCTTTTATTTTTCTCTTTCATGGGTGCCATGTTCTTTGGAAACTTGCTTAGAGCACATTAATGGCCTTTTAGGCTTCTGCCACATGGGTAGGAGTTCACTTTCTGAATAATAAGAATTAGCCCCAGCTGGTTTGGCTCACTGGATGGAGCGTCGGCCTGCGGACTGAAGGGTCCCAGGTTCAATTCCGGTCAAGGGCACGTACCTTGGTTGCAGGCACATCCCCAGTGGGGGGTGTGCAGGAGGCAGCTGATCGATGCTTCTCTCTCATCGATGTTTCTAACTCTCTATCCCTCTCCCTTCCTCTCTGTAAAAAATCAATAAAATATATATTTTTTTAAAAATAATTATATGTCACAGGGCAGGGGCATCAGGATTTTAGAGATGCTTAGGTGGGGCAAGGCCAAAAAAGGGTGGGGAGCCACTGCTCTAGACAGAGTTAAGGGCACGGGGAACCAGCAGAGCTGGCTTCTGCTTAGCCCCCTGACTCCCCTTTGGTGCTGCTTACTGCTTGTAAGTGGGAAGAATGTAGCTCTCCACCAAGAGCTCTTTTCACTAGAATTTACATGGAAAGAGAACAATGTTTACATAAATTTAATTCAGCCTCAACAGGCAAGTACTTCTTAGAAAGAACTTTCTTCTTCTAACCCTTGCCCTGTAAACAGAGAGGTAGTGTGATGGGGTGAAAGGCACGAGAGCTTTAGAGTAGTCAGACCTTGGAATTGTATGTTCCAAGGCAAACTACTTCAGTTCCATCTGGACTCCCCCACTTACCAGTTGCAGGGCCTTGGGCTTATTACTTGACTTTGCTGAGCCTCTGTTTCTTCTAGTGTAATGGGGATACAAAATATCTTGCAGAATCAGAAACAAGAGGTAAAGGAGCTAGTCCAGTCCCTGGCACAGAATAGATACTCAACAAAATAACAAATTTGTGGGTCCACGGGGTTGTTGTTTTTTTAATCCTCACCCCAGGATATGTTTTTTCATGGATCCCAGAGAGAGAGGAAAGGAGAGGGAGAGAGAGAAACATTGATGTGAGAGAGAAACATCAATTGGTTGCCTGTAGAAGGAGCCCTGACTGGGACCAAAGCTGCAACCTGGGTAAGTGCTCTGACCGGGAATCAGACCTGTGATCCTTCAGTGCATGGGACAACACTCTAACCAACTGAGCCATACCAGCCAGGACAGGTCCATGGGATTTTGAAGGTACATGATAATTCATCCCTATGATTCTGATTCAACATTTTTCACAAGTATCGCTGTGATGCTAATCCTTTGCTGGACGGTTTCACATATTTTCTTGTTTCATAGATATTAAACAGAACTGCTGTGGGTTGTATTTCCGTTTTACCGAATACAGTGTTAACTAAGACCATGCTTATGTTTCTCCCACTGGGGTTCTCGGATCCTGCTGGGGTCATGTGCTGTGGATACTCAGAGCCATAGACCAGATGAGGTCTTGCATCTTGTAGGCACTTCAGTCTTACTCAGTTTTTTGTTTTGTTTATTTATTAATTTGGGAGAGAGAGAGAAACATCAGTTTGTTGTTCCACTTATTTATGCATTCATTGGTTGATATTTGTATGTGCCCTGACCAGGGATCGAACCCCAACCTTGGCGTAGCGGGATGCTGCTCTAACTAAGTGAGCTACCCAGCCAGGACCAATCTTACTCAGTTTTAAACATTTCCATATTAAAACAGTCCTGGATCTATTATAAATTGGAATGCAAAGTTTGCATGAATATAGCTAAAACAGGAAACTTGAGGACAATATTTTGGTTACAGCAGACTTCTTTGGATTCAATTCCCAGATTCCTAGAGTTTGGCATTTTCCCCCCTAACTTGAGTCTGGGTTACATTTGTTGAGGCCATTTGAGAAGGACTGCTTCCAATAGGATTTGTAAATTAGGATGTCCCCAAATCCAGGTAAGAGTGCCTTGAAGAGCCTTGGCAGAGGAGAATTAGAATATTTCTTAGGGTGTCCTCTGCATTAATAGCCTGCTATAATAAGAGATTCATTTTCAGAGTGAATGTCCCCATCTCCTCCTGTATATGGAAACAACAATCAAGTAAAAGCTAACCTGTTTGAGCTTTATTTCATACTAGAGGCCCAGTGCATGAAATTCGTGCACAGGTAGGGTCCCTAGTGGCTGCCAGCTGCCGGACGGGGCCTCCCTTCCCCCGGCTGCCTGCTGCCTGCTGCTGCCACCGCCGCCGCTGCCAGCTGGGGCAGGGCTGTGGGCGGTTGGCCACCCGGCCCTACCCCCTGGTCAAACTCCTTGTTGAGGGGACAATTTGCATATTAGGGTTTTATTATATAGGATGTGCCAGACACTCCAGAGCCATTCCCATGTATTGACTCCTTTGGTCTTCACAATAGCCCCAGGAGAAAGGTACTGCGTTTAATCCCCATGTTATCGTGGGGAACTCCACAGTAAGTGGCAGAGCAGCGGACAGAACCAAAAGTCTGTGCTGGAATTCCTGTGCAGCTCAGCCCCTCCTTGCCCCACTTCTGTGTGTTCTTCCCTTTGCCTGGAAGGCTCTTCTCCACTTCACCTGCCTGGGAGCCCCACCTCCCTCCTTTCTCAATGTTCAGTTAGAATGTCACTTCCTCCATGAAGCCTTCCCTCCCTGAGCTAGGCTAAGGGCTTTCTTCCTCCCTTTGCTTTCCTCCAGTTGCACCTTGTCTACCTCCTGTCCTGTGTGGAGCCCTGTAGGGGCACTGATCATGTCATGTTTTTATCAGTGTGTTCAGTCCTGCCAAGGTGCTCAGCATTGTAACTCCCACTGTGGCTGTTTAAGGGCAGACATTCCCATCTGCCCCTGAAGCAAATGCCTACCCATTTCACTTAACACACTTCCTAAGTTCACACGTCTTAGATGTGGCGACCTGGAATTCACACTCATCCATCTGATCCCAAAGCCCGTGCCGTTTTTTCAGGCCTTCCACCAGAAAGTGGCTCACAGGTAGAAGAGCAAACAGGTAAATAGGATGAGTGTTAGGTGTAGATGATCGAGGAGATGGGGAGGAGGCGGGGACAGGTCACAAACTAAATTCCAGAAAGCGGGGCTTTCCATACCTCCATTGCCATGAAAGGCTTCACAGGAGAAGGCTGGCATGGCTTTGGCTGTCCACAGTCCTCTGGACTAACTTCTACAGCATGTGCTTCTGCAGCTGCGTGTGGTGAGGCAGCAGTGACCCCGGGCCAGGACTGAGCAAGGGTCAGTGGAAGTGAATTTAACTCTGGTCTGTGGGTGCTACTTTACACATCTGCATAAGGCTCATTCTTGAGAGGTTGGACTTAAGAAAGTGGCACCAGCAGCTATAACCTACCAATGTGGCCTTTAAACTCCCCTGCTATGTACCTGCAGGATTTGGGTATTATTCTCTGCTCACCTAGACCATATGTGTGTGTGTGTGTATGTGTGTGTGTATCTATATGTAGATATACTAGAAAATTCATGCACATGGGGGGGCTCAGCCCAACCTGCACCCTCTCACAGTCTGGGGCCCTTGGGGGATGCCCACCTGCTGGCTTAGGCCTGCTCCCTGAGAACAGATGATTTAAAAGAAATAATCATATCCTTGGGTAAGGATTTTTTAAAAAGGTAGTGGTCGCATGAAAATTCACTGCCAGCGGGGCTGAGGGGACTGGGGGACTCTGGCGGGGCTGGGGACTGGGTGCCACCATCTTTGTGAGTGCGTGATGGTCAATTAGCATATTACCTCTTTATTATATAAGATATATTTATATATATTGATTGATTTCAGAGAGGAAGGGAGAAGGAGAGAGAGATAGAAACTTTAATGATGAGAGAGAATCACTGATTCGCTGCCACCTGCATGCCCCCTACTGGGGATTGATCCTGCAACTCGGGCATGTTCTATTCCTGACCAGGAATAGAACTGTGACCTCCTTGTTTATAGGTAGATGCTCAACTACTGAGCCATGCTGGCTGGGCTGCTCACCTTGACTATTGCCAGGGCTCCCACCAAACCTATCTACTTACCCCTCAGCCTAGCTCCCTATAAAATTAACTCATCTTTATGAACATGAGTTTATGGTAACTAGAGTCTTTGCATCTTTTTTTGTCACAAGATGAGCTGCTGCCTCTTTTTTTTTGTTGTTAATCCTCACCTGAGGATATGTTTTTATTGATTTTAGAGAGAAGGGAAGGGAGAGAAAAACATCATTGTGAAAGAGAAACATCGATTGGTTGCCTCCTGTACATGCCCCAACCTAGGTATGTGCCCTGACTGAGAATCAATCCTGCAACCTTTTGGTATACAGGATGACACTCCAACTCAAACCAACTGAGCCACCTGGCCAGGGCTGCCTTTTTTTTTTTTTTTTTTAATGAATAATAGTTTAATTTCAGAATACTTTCAGAAAAATTATGAAGGTAATGCAGTCTTCTCATAAACTCCTATGTCCAATTTCCACTATTATTAACATCTTACATTAGTATTGTACATTTGTCACAACTGATGAACCAATGTTGATACATTATTAGTTAAAGTCCATACTTTATTCAGATTTCCTTAGTTTTTATCTGATGTCCTTTTTCTGTCCAGGATTCATGACATTTAACTGTCATATCTCCTTAGTTTCCTCTTGGCTGTGACAGTTTCTTAGACTTATTGTTTTTGTTTTAATATTTGTATTGATTTTTAGAGACAGAGGAAGTGAGAGGGGG